GTATTTACGTAATATATTATAAACCACCCAAACTTAACGTTAGTGTACAATAGTGGGACATTATTTTATACAAGCTTAAGGCAGAAAGATCAATGATAATTTTTATAATAATAGTTTGTATGAAAAGTAACTATCTTGAAGTTTTTATGTCCAAATATTGTAATGGAACATAACTTGGACAATTCATTTGCTTGAATAAAATAGTTGGCTTCTTCCACATCATCGTATCGAACCAAATTAGGAGACACTTCTTCTAATCTCCTCCTCACTTGGTCAAGATTGTCATAAGGGAGCGTCACACCAGCCACCTAAAAGACGAAGGGAGGGAGAGACAGAAAGAAATTCAAGATCCAGTGTGGATATATTTCTTTTTATTAATATCCATTATTTGCACCATACATCCCCAAAGTTACACACAATGCATTCAGAAAGTATTCATACCCCCTTCACTTTTGTTATGCTGCAGCTTGATTCTACAGTGGTGAACATTTATTTTTCTCATTAATCTACACTCAGTGCCCCATAATGACTAAGTGAAAACAGAATTTTAGAAATGTCTGTAAATTTATTAAAAAGAAAAAACAAATATGGCATAAGTATTCAGACCCTTCACTCAGTACTTTGTTGAAACACCTTTGGCAACAATTACAGCCTCAGGTTTTTGGGGGTAGGATGCAACAAACTTTGCAATCTGGATTGAGAGATTTTTTTGCCATTCTTCCTTGCAAATCCTCTCAAGCTCAGTCAGGTTGGAAGGCAACTGTCAGTGGACAGCCATTTTCAGGTCCCTCCAGAGATGTTTAATAGGTTTCAAGTCAGGACTCTGGCTAGGCCACTCTAGGACATTCGCAGACTTGTCCCTAAGCTACTCCTGTGTTGTCTTGCCTGTGTGCTTAGGATCATTGTCAAGTTGAAAAGTGAATCTTCAGCCCAGCCTGAGGCTGTAGAGCGCTGTAGAACAAGTTTTCATTGAGGATGTCCCTGTATTTTGCTCCATTCAGTTTTCCTCAATCCTGATTAGTCTCCTAGTCCCTGCTGCTGAAAAACACCTCCACAGCATGATGCTTCCAACCACCATCCTTCACTTTTGGGATGATATTGGGCAGGTGATGAGCGGTGCCTGGTTTCCTTCAGACATAATGTTTAGAATTGAGACCAGACAGTTCAATCTTGGTTTCATCAGACCAGATCATCTTGTTCCTCAGAGTCTGGTAGTCCTTTAGGTGCTTCTTTGCAAACTCCAAGTGGGTTCTCATTTGTTTTGCACTGAGGAGAGGCTGTCTACCTGCTGTACCATAAAGCCCAGATCACTGGAGGGCTGCAGTGATAGTTGTCCTTCTGGAACTCTGTCCATCTCCACACAAGATCTCTTGATCACCACTCTAACTAAGGCCCTTCTCCCGATTGTTCAGTTTGATCGGGCAATGAGCTCTTGGACGAGTCCTCATTGTGCCAAACGTCTTCCATTTGAGAATTATGAAGGCCACTATGCTCTGAGGAATCTTCAGTGCAGCATAAATTTTATTGTAGCTTTCCCCAGATCTGTGCCTTGTGATAATCCTGTCTCTGAGCTCTGCAGGCAGTTCCTTTGACCTCATGGCTTTTGCTCTGCTACAGTATGCATTGTCAGCTGTGAAGCCTTCTGTACAGAGGTGTGTGCCTTTCCAAATCATGTCCAATCAATTTAATTTACCACAGGTCAATTCCAATCAAGATGTAGAAACAGGTCAGCAACTACCAAGAGAAATGGGTGTCACCTGAGTTAAATTTCAAGTGTTGTTGCAAAGGGTCTGAATACTTATGCCAATGTGATATTTCAGGTTTTTCTTTTTAATAAATTTACAGACATTTCTAAACTTGTTTTTACTTTGTTATTATGGGGTACTGAGTGTACATTAATGAGAAAAAAATGAATTTCAATAATTGTAGAATTAGGCTGTAGCATAACAAAATTGACAAAAGTGAAGGAGGTCTGAATATTTTCTGAATGCACTGTAATTTCAGAAGTTGCATTCCATGTAGATTAACAATTTAAGATTGCTGTATTTTGCAATTTAACAAGGTAGCATGCTATATTTATGAATGGCACACAAGAGATGTAAAAAAGCAAACTTCCTATCCTTGCTATTGGTAGTCACAAAAATATTTTTTAGAATATTTGGCCTAAAAATATAATAGTACCCATTCAGCATGAAACAATTGTAACTCAATACAGTAAAACAAAACACATAAACTCGTGATGATGAACTTATGGCACGCATGCCACAGCTGGCACGCGGTGGCCTCTCAGCCGGCACATGAGTCCCAGCTGAGCTGCATCAAGCATGTGCCCCTGGCCAGCTGATTTTCAGATCTCTGCAAAACTATACAAGCCATTGATATACATCCAACAGGAACAGGAAGTGCCTCACAGGAGCAGATAGAGGTAAATTCTAGAGAGGCAGGAAATGCATCACTGAACAATGGAGAATGCTAGAGAGCCGAGGTGGCGCAGTGGTTAGGGTGCAGTATTGCAGGCCACTTCAGCTGACTGTTATCTGCAGTTCGGCGGTTCAAATCTCACCGGCTCAGGGTTGACTCAGCCTTCCAACCTTCCGAGGTAGGTGAAATGAGGACCCAGACGGTGGGGGCAAGTTGCTGACTCTGTAAACCACTTAGAGAGGGCTGAAAGCTCTATGAAGCGGTATATAAGTCTAACTGCTATTGCTATTGCTAGAGAGGACTAAAGCTGCATGAAAAGGTTGACATAACTTCTGTAACAGTGTAGGCATGTGCAGGGAGGGGGTGCGCCCGCAACCCATTTTTGGTCCCAGGAGATTTCAGGGGAGCCTGCTAGGCCCAAAATGGGGTGCGGGGAGCAGGATGGGTGGGAGGGGGTATGCACAGTGTATTATGGGTATGGGCACACACGCATGTGCTGTTGTGCACACTTTTGGCACGTGAGAATGATAACAAAAAGGTTAGCCATCACTAACATAGACTATACCCAGCTTTTTCTATTGGAATCCTATGTCAAAATGTACATTCAGTTGTCCAATCTCCCCACACTTTTAAATACAAATCAATAATTTTCACATTCAAATCTCTGTTCCAGAAAATACAGTTACTACAGACATAGTTTACTATGATCTTTCTGTGCATTTTGTGATGAATTACTTTTCAAATATTGGCTAAATCAGAAAGTTCATGATTTCAACTCCTAAATATAACCAACTCCTTTTCTCAAGTGTTATTAATTCAATCTCTTGGGAAATATTCAGCGATTAGGGCATTTACAGTACCTCAGAGAGTGCCCTAATAATTTTCCAGTCCTCTCTGGCCAGGCCAGGGGGTGTCACTGCTACTCGGGTTTGTTGAGCCCTTCCTTCGGTATTTACATAGGTTGCCGTCTTTTCTGTATAAGCTGCTCCGGGAAGAATTACATCAGCCATAGAAGCTCCAGTATCGCCATGGTGACCTGAAAAAGATTGCAGCAGCAGTGGGATTACTTTTAATTTCTCACTGAACTTTATATTAGGCTTTGTAATTTTGCAACTCACTCATTTCTTTAGCTACTACAACCTTTCTCTTAATATAAGTACAGTGGGACATCGGGCGCCAACTGTAATCTGTTTCAGGACTTCGGTCAGCAGCCAATTTGGTTGTGACCAGAAGCAAGACAAACTGCGCATGCGCGCACGCACACCCAAAACAGCGCGGAAGGGGAAATCACCGTGGCCGGGGAAATCACTGCAGCTGTGTTTATTCGGCACCCAAAGATGTGTTCGTGACCAGAGTGAAACATTTCGCAGATTTTTCGATCGGACCTGAATTGTTCACTGTCTGAGCCGCTCGGGACCCAAGATCCCACTGTTATTGCAAAGTTTTGAGTGGTTCTTTTCAAGACACCACTTTTGAAATAGAAGCCTTTAATATTTAATTCTGACCATTAGCAGCTACTTGGCTTAAATTTTATTAGTTCAGAACAAAATTTCAGAGGTGTGTATGAAGCAAAAGATACGTTTTGTTTTGATCTCAGAACAAAACAGCCCTGCTTTCATTGGGATGTTTTGAACTGGATTGATTCCAACAGAACAACATTTAAACAGCACAAATATTCTGACCATAGTAAACAGAAGGAGCTCAGGACCAACTGCCACTCCTATTTTTCATATTAGCGCCATGAGAGTAGGTTAGTATCACCTACTACCTAGACCAGTGTTTCTCAACCTTGGCCACTTGAAGATGTCCGGACTTCAACTCCCAGAATTCCCCAGCCAGCATTCGCTGGCTGGGGAATTCTGNACAAACCGGTTCTACCAAATAGGTGCAAACTGGTAGGAACCCACCTCTGGCCAGAGGAATGTCTTTCCAAAGTCTCCATTCCATAAAACAATTCCAAACAGACAGTTCAAATGCTTCTGCACATGGTTTTAGGTCCAGAGTGGCAGATGGGCTAAAAGGTGGGTAGAAGAGCATATGGGACAGTATCAAGTTTGGGTTTGGCTACTTTAGAGAAAAGGATTACGGATGACATGATAGCAATATTCCAGTATCGGAGAAGCTGCCACAAAGAAGAGGGGGTCAAATTATTTTCCCAGAAGGCAGGACAAGAAACAGTAGATGGAAACTAATCAAGGAGAGAAGCAACCTGCAATTGAGGAAAAACTTCCTACCAGTGAGAATAATTAACCAGTGGGACAGCTTTGCCTTCAGAAGCTGTGGGTGCTTCATGAGTGGAGATTTTTAAAAAAGAGACTGAACTTGTCTGGAACAGTATAGGGCCGTGATGGTGAATCTATGGCACACATGCCAGAGGTGGCACGTAGCACCCTCTCTGGGGGCAAGCAAGCCATCGCCCCAGTTCCACTTTGCTGTGCGTGTGCATGTGCCTTCCACAGGCCAGCTGGTCTTTGGGTCTCTGTCATGCATGCATGGGGGCATGCAGGAGGGTGCATGCACATGCATGGGGTGGGGCAGGGGGCATGTGGAGGGGAATGTGTGCATTGCATTTTGGGGGTTCTGGTGCACGTGCAGGTTTTGGGTACTCAGTCCGGAAAAGGTTAGTCATCACTGGTATAGGGTCTCCTGCTTGAGCAGGGGGTTGGACTAGAAGACCTCCAAGGTCCCTTCCAGCTCTATTCCATTCTAAGTTATAGACTACGGACACATTCTTCTGTGAAGTGCAAACAGGATCACAATGTTAATAATCTGCATTTAGGAGGAAGATCTGATATTGCATCACCTTTGCATTCCAACCGTGTGACGTTTGTCACCAAATGGTAGAAATCTTTTCTTTTTCTGCAAATTTCCATCAAGAGGTTATTTAAACTAAAAGACCAACAACATACAATTCTTTTGAAGTTCAGATTGTTTTTTATAGTATCACAAGCAGCAGATACAAACCTAAAGTGGGAAAGAATGCAACCTCACAATGTACAATTATGCAATTTAGAATGTATATTTGATTAGATATAAAAAATAACTGATTGGATATAAACACACTTTTATGTGCCAACAAGGTCTGATTTTAGATGGATCTACAAAAAAAAACACCCCAGCATTATATTGAAAGAACGGAGCAGGCATTCCGTGAACATACTTTATTTCAGGAGAGTTATTGTTATGAGATTATCTTAATCTGGCCTTGGATCCCAGAGTTTATGGTCACCTCCTAATATTTTCTTCCAGTTTTATCTTCACTCCTTGGCTTTCTGAATGTTTTATGGCTGAGCTGATGGGGTAATAAGGATGCAGGATGCTTTGTTTTATTTTACTTATCTTAATCAGCATCATATTTTCTCCTGCAATACATAGGGCTTTCAGGCAGATCATTACTCTATTAAGAGAACTTCCAAGCACCAATAAGAAAAGGTCTCATATAAATCTCTATGCTCCAAGAGCTACACATTTTCTAGAGTCCCGAAGGAGGTACTTTCTGCTCTTTCTCCCAATGGATACTGGAAATTGTGCACATTGCTGTAAAGAAAACACCTGTACAGGTAGTCCTCTACTAGCCCTATACCCAAATCAAGGAACTACTAACTTAGATAAAAAAGCCTAACAGTAAACAAGGGTCTAATCAAGGAACCACCAAGAACATTCCCACCAACATTGACAGGGCAAGTCACTAGTATATAAAGAGTTCAAACCCCACTCCCTTCTAGCATTGACGATGTTACCTAGTTTGGTAATGAAATGATTGCAAGTAAGATTGAGACTCTAGAAAGAGTGCAGAGAAGCGTGGCATGACAAAACCACGCTCGTCAAAATAGCAGTATAAAATCGCGGCGCTAAAGCCGCGACGTCATCACCGCGCGTCATCACCGCCGCGACAACAGCGCAGCAACAGAAGGGCACTTTAAAACGGCGCCACAGCAGAAAGCCGATTTCAATTAAGGTAAGGGTTAGGATTAGGTTTAGCTTTAGGGGTTTGTTTTAGGGTTTGTTTTAGGGTTAGGTTTAGGGTTTGTTTTAGGGTTAGGTTTAGGGTTT